TTCTCCATCTCTTGTGTCTTTGAAATGTTCTTTTTTTTTTACTTGCAACCAAACAGACGTGAAAAATCATCATTCTTATCTTTTTTCTTTTTTTTTTTTTTCCCCGGAAGTAAACACAAGAATGCGCGTTTCTGCATCACTGCGCATGTCCTCTTTTTGCGAAAGCGATTAAAGAGCCAATCAAATATTGCAGTCATGGATTTCGAGATTTGAGAAGCGTAAACATCGAAGCTGCAACTGTATAACTGTTTACATTACAACTAATTATTTCAAGTCCTGTAAACAAAAGTCAATTGTCGAAAAAGAGTTCACTGAATTTCACTTGAAGGCGGGACGCTTAAACACGCGCAAATTATACGCCAACATCAAGTTGAAACACTGATTTTCGTACGATCACCGAAGTTAAGCAACGTCAAATCTAGTCAGCACCTAGATGGGCGACCGCTTGGGAATCCCAAGTGCTGTAAGTTTGAATGTCGAGTGGGGCAATGGATAACATCTTGGAATTTTTAATCGGAGAACCGAGTCTCAAATTGAGTCGGGTTCGTCAGATTTACTTACGCACAAATACCTTTGGGAAGCGTATGAATCCATCTTTTCTCCTCCCCAGCTATGGATTAATTAGTAAGATCTGCATCACTAATCCATTACTATTTAAAAAAAGCTTACAATGTAATATAATATTTTCTTACATTCAATTATCTGCAACGGTTATAGAAGCCGTAGAAAAGAAATCAATCAAATCAAACTCGACCGGTGCGTGTGGGGCAGTGTCGGTAAAATCTTTATTATCTCCAAAACATTCTTCTAATAGATTATAAGAATGTTTTGGAGATAATAATTATTTACCGCTATATGCCCCACTATTTAACCCATAGCTTGGAGGACAAGAGATAGATTGATAGCTTTCCAAATGGTATTTGGAGCTGGAATTTGAACTCAGTTAATTTCCAGTTCCCAGCCGTTATCCATTTGCTGGTTTTAAATTATCCGAAAAATGTTGATAAGCCATAAAAAAACACTCAGTCAAACAATTTACACTTAATAGTGCAAGATAAAATAGTGATATCTTTTTTCAAATTGCTGATACGCATTAGTGTTATTTAACCTGTTATCAGTTATGTTTTGCTTTTTTTACATCACGTAATAATAATATTAGTCGTAATACATCAAGCAATAATATTAGCTGTAATACATCACGCAATAATAATATTAGCTGTAATACATCACGCAATAATGATATTAGCTGTAATACATCACGTAATAATGATATTAGCTGTAATACATCACGTAATAATAATATTAGCTGTAATACATCACGTAATAATAATATTAGCTGTAATACATCACGCAATAATATTAGCTGTAATACATCACGCAATAATGATATTAGCTGTAATACATCACGTAATAATGTTACTAGCTGTAATACATCACGTAATAATGATACTAGCTGTAATACATCACGTAATAATATTAGCTGTAATACATCACGCAATAATATTAGCTGTAATACATCACGTAATAATGATATTAGCTGTAATATATCACGTAATAATGATATTAGCTGTAATATATCACGTCATAATAATATTAGATGTAATACATCACGTAATAATATTAGCTGTAATACATCACGCAATAATGATATTAGCTGTAATACATCACGCAATAATATTAGCTGATGAAATAGTCTTAATTTGTCGTCATTCTTGTTCGTTTTCTATTAGATTTTCATTATAACTGTATTACATCTTTTCCTGCAGATTATAACTGTATTACATCTTTTCCTGCATAGCTGATGTCATTTTTTTTTAATTCTATGAGCGCTAAGCACCATGCGAGGTCTGTCTAAAGATTAACGGACCTGATGTCACAAACAATTTATTTTAATTCTAAACAACAAACTACATGGTTTACCCTTCAAAGTTACTCCACCTCGAGTCTAATGCACTTTTCCATCCTCTGCTACGCTTCTATACGCTTCTGGAAGGATTCTTCTTAGACGCCTCTCAGATGCATTGCTACGGCCCTGTTGATGGCTCCCACGCCTTCAAAATGGTTCCCCTTGATGATTCCCTTGATCTTGGAGAAAAGAAGTCACACGGAGCAAGATCCGGTGAATAGGGTGGTTTTCCTGTACGGCGATTTTCCCCTCGTCCAGGAACTGCCAGATGCTCAGGGTGTTGTGAGCAGGTGCGTTGTCCTGGTGATGCCGCCACGATTAATCCTGCCACATCTCTCGCATGTGAAAAAATGCTATGGTTGCAGGAAGCTAAGATTACTTATCCTATGATATCATGTTCGATGATAACTCAGTCCGCCTATCCCACTTTCACCCATAGCTCGCACAACACACCCAGTCACTTTTCAGATAGACCTCGTATACCAGAAATGAAGAATTAGTCCACTTTTTTAGAGTTGTCTAAAAAAAAAAAATAAATAAATAAAAAATAAATAAATTAAATAAACCCATATGATCAAAGGGATATATGTATCACAACACTTTAAACATCCTAATAGCTCACCGTATCACACCCAATTACAATTTCGGCCTAATAAATACCAGTCTCGTCAGAAGAGAAAATAATTCAATAATAAGAAAATGCATCGAAAGTGCACTAATCTCACAATTCCCTTATTTCAACCTCAGACCGGACTCATACACAATATCACCGATCATTGTAAAAAAAAAAAAAATAGTATCACAGTGCGGCGTACAAGCTAATGAGCTCGTGTAAAGGAATTGAGAAAAAAGAGCAATAAATCTACTCGGAATTGGTTCATTTCAAATCTAGCAGACTTTAACAGCTTTAATTCCGAAAGAAGGAAAAACAAAACTTTACGGCCTTAACATCTGCTAAACTAATTCATTATCTCTCCTTCTAAATACCAACCGGTACGAACGGGTTTGTGTCTCATTCCGTTCCAAAAACCCTTGCCATAAAGAGGTGAAACTCTTTGCCAGGAAAGCGTTTCCGCTTTCTCACATCATATATTGGGAAGAGGCGACTACTGTGAACGTGTACACGTAGTACACTAAAAGGTCCCCAAACAATCCTCTTTCTTTCTCCTTGACTGGTTGTCAGCTTAGGCTATAAGACCTAGCCTGTCCTACTATATTACCCATGGCTGGAGGGCAGAAGAGATGATGGAGCCATACCATTCTCAGGATTATTTGCACGTAAGTGAAAGTAACAAACTCGAATCCAGGCTTAATCTGAGTCTGGCTATCCATTGCTGCATCGTGCCTCCACTATATATATATATATATATATATATATATATATATATATATATATATATATATATATATTATTGGTAAATATACATACATACATACATACATATTTACGATTACAATGGAATAAATTATGACCATGGAATATTAGTGTTTAAGCCTTTTTATTTATATATATATATATATATATATATATATATATATATATATGGATATATATATATATATATATATATATATATATATATATATATATATATATATACGATATATATATATATATATATATATATATATATATATATATATATATATATATGAAACATTTTTCAGAATTAACCTGTAGAAAAAAAAAGACAATATGTAAAAAGGTAAAAAACAATATGAAAACTGTATTATTAGCCGATGCGTTTCGTCCGGTGTGGAAATTTTCATATCAAAAATGAAATGAATTTACTGAAAACTAAGTAACTATTAACAAAAAACAAAATGTCCTTAGCAACTAGAAGAATTTTGAAAATGAAAAGTGAAAGTATTTGACGTAAGTTTCAGTTGACAATATGAATAAAATAACGATTTCAAAATTATTAGGGTTGCTAAGGACATTTTTGTTTGCTGTTAAAAATTGTTTTGTTGTCAATAAATTCATTTCGCTTTTGCCTTGAAAAAGTTCACATTGGACAAAACATGTCGGCTAATAATACAGTTTTTCTATTGTCTTTTACATTTATACGTACAGGCACACACACTCCCGCACACACACAGAGCACACACACAGAGCACACACACACACACATATATATATATATATATATGAATGGAAAAAGAACAAATAGGAAACGTTTATTAAACATGTTCCAATATTATTCAAGCTTCATCAAACAATTCGCCGATGAAGCTTTAATAAAAAAACATTTTAGAATGATAAACGTTTTAAATATATATATATATATATATATATATATATATATATAAACATATATATATACACACATTTACATATATATATGATGGGATAAAGAATAATTTATTACTTAACATATATATATATATATATATATATATATATATATATATTACAACATATATATATATATATATATAGGAATCAAATAATATTTTTTCTTTATCCTATCATATATATATGTATGTGTGTGTGTGTTTTTATATATATATGTATGTATATATATATATATATATATATATATATATATATATATATATATATATATATATATATATATTATATATATATATATATATATATATATAGAGAGAGAGAGAGAGAGAGAGAGGAATTAAGTAATAATTTTAAAATTAATTCAAGAAGCTATTCAAAAGTATTTTGAATAACCCTTGTTTAAGTCCAATTCTTGGTTAGCAGAAATATGAAGATAGCAAGAAATAAAAAGGGAAAACAATTATCAAAAGAAATAAAGAGGAATGATTGCTTTGCAATAACATTATTATGTGACAGAAAATGTAGATCGAATCGATAAAAAAAGACGACAAATCGGCGCGCACAGAAGCGTGCCGATATCTCCATCGTACTTCTTTGTATAAATGTATACACATATACAGCCTGATTACTCAAAAACAAGTGGCCTTCTCCAAAAATGTCTACACGAAGCCATCATCCGCTCGCACGATTTATACAACTGACTGCTTAATATACCTTTTGATGCTAAAAAGTTTGGAGAGTTCTAATTCGCTGATGTACAAACATTCATATCCTCTTTTGGTGAACAATTCCGTTCCAATGACGGCGTTGGCTTGGGGCTATTTCCCAGGCGTCAACGTTACTATCTTCGTCTTCTCACTTTCTTTCTCGCGGTACGCTCCAATTTATAGGATTGTCATTTCTACCCTGTGGTTAAATGGAACGATTGTATTTGGCTGGTCGCTCGCTTTTCCCTGTGTCTCGCACTAAAAGGTAAGCATCTCCACCTGCCATAATATCCTGAAAGCCATCAAGTAGAAAAGAAACGGGAATTTGCCGATGGTGAAAAACCTTGGAATTTTCGCTTAATTTTATGCGCGCTCTGCTTCAGGATATATTTTTCTACCCTTTAAGACTAAAGAGGCATATTGCAATGGGCCCCGGTATAAAGTAGCGATTTTCTCCAAGAATGCGGCCGGCGTGTATAGGCAGTCGCGGGAGTGGAGGCTGGGGAGATCGACACAGGAAATTAACGCACTGATAGCGGGGGGAAAAACAAGCGACACACACAACTGGTCGGTTTTATTGACGAACAAGCGGGAACACGCGTGCGAGAACGCGCTTGCGCGCGCCTCATCGACATTGCACAACAATAGTTCTCCAGCCCCCTGTTTCTTCGTCTGTCCCAGATGCTTCCTCACTCATCTCCTCTACCCGTTTCCTCGGCCCCTGTCTCTCCAGCTCGAGACGAACGGCTTCAACCTTTCTCACTGTGTCTTTCTGTCAATGAAGCGATTCAATGCTAAAGACTCTTGTCCGTTCGTTCCCAAATGCGGACTTGTGCCCTCTTGCCCGTTCTCTTGCCATTTATACGCCTGGTAACAAACAAGATGGCACTGTGGAGGTTGATTTGCTTGCCCGAGGGCTAAACGTTGCTGGGAAGACAGAGTAAGAAAAGGTTTGGAGAGAGAGATAGAAAAAAAATTATCGTAATATTGAGTTGTACAAGAAAATGAAGACAAAGCAATAATATAGTAACCCAAAGGAAAAAGAAAAAAAAGACTGGCGAGGAGAAAAACGGAGAGACAGAACGATTAAAATGTTAAGAGAGAATTCTGAAGGAAAGTGAAGAGGTAAGAATGTATCTGAAAAAGCGAAAGATGACTTCTAAAAACTAAGCAAAGTAATAAGAAACGGGAAAATTTCGTTAGAAAAATAGAAAAGAATACTCAACTGCTATCTAGTATCATTCCTTCTTTATAGCAGGGAATGTTGGACAATCTCTTCAGCGATAAACAAGAGACTTGAAGCAGTAGGAATGTGCTTCTACCGAAAGAGAATACCCTGGACTGAACATGTTAATAACGAGAAAGACTTAAGGAAACCTAATGCAAAAAGGATACTTATTCTTAAAATCAGTACGAAACAGTTACAGTTTCTAGGATACGTAAAGAGGAAAGAGGCTTTATAGAATCTGATACACACAAAACATATTGAAGGCAAGAGAGACAGAGTATAGAAGCTTCTATAAATGGATGCAGAACGGAATGGGTGAGAATAATACGACAAAACTTATTGAGAACTACAAAGGATAATAGAATGTGAAGAGTCATAAAGGCACACGGCATAAAGACGAAGAAGAAGAAGAAGAAGGAGGAGGAGGAGGAGAATAATAATAATAATAATAATAATAATAACAACAACAACAACAAAGAATGAAAATATCGAATAAAGAAATCATCTAAATATATAAACGGCAAATTCTGCCGTGTGTCTGAGTCATCTAACTCGGGCCATACTTGCCTTACATAGACATATTATATCTTTTTGGAATCAGGATGATCCCAGGATTGAAAATCTATCCTTCATCTGGTGTTTGAACATCCAGCATTGGGATTTGTGTCCGGTTGAGGTGGGGACAGTTAAAAATATAAATTTTAAAATAACTGAAAAGAATTAATGATTTTAAAAGTGTTTCATTTATACTGAGTTTAAAGTAACACAAAAACTTTGTGAATTTAAAGAATCAATTTTGTTTCTTCAAAATGTCAAAGGTAAAGTGAGAGATTTCGTGACGTGAGGTTTTGAAGTTCCGCAGAGTTTGGGATTTGAAAGGCTCAACTCAATTGCTGTTCCACAGAAATTGTAGGTTAAAGAACTCAATTTTCAGCCTTAACGGAATTTCAGCCCAAATCGTATTTTCGGACCCAATAGGACTTTTGACCGGAATTGGACTTATAGCCCAAATCAGAGTTAAAGTGCGGTTTTAAATTCCCGTGAAGTAAATTGAGGAATTCAAAGTTATTTCTTTAAAATACCATTGCTGTTTTCTAAGCTGAACCTCCGCGAGAGATATATTAAAAGTTCGTACGGAGTTTGCGGCTTTTAAGCTAGTTTTAAATAAGAGGACAATTAAGAAGTGAGAGAATGATAACTTCTCATCATTACCTACAAACCTAACAAAAGAAATGCCGGCAGCTTTACTGTCACAGAAGATCGTTAAAAGGGAAACCGAATCACCAATAACGGTAGCAAAAGCCAAATTATAAGAAAAGCAAAAACAAAGCTTGTAACATGAGAAATAAAACAAGAAACACACACTTGAAAATTACCAAATTAAATGTCAGAGAAATGACAAGAATGGATAGGAATTCCAAACAAGATGAATGCAATCACGAATACATGCATACATACATGCATATATATATATATATATATATATATATATTATTGTAGAGTAGTTTCACAGTGGAGGCTTGTATTTTTACTAAGTCGGTCCTAAAATAGGTTCGACGTACAAAACGTTAGGAACTTGATATAATAGGTAATGACGCAGAGAAATCTAGTTGGGGTCGCTGATACTTTAGTATCCGACTAACGGTCGTCCGGCATCGACTGACTGACCAACCCACTGAGAGTATTTAGTCACCCCCCACCCCACGAGGTCATCATGTGGCACAAGGCCGGTTTAACGTGGGATCTCCGAGCCCGTGGGCTCGGCCAAAAATATGCCCATTGAACCCTTATAAACGGGTTCAGGGTCGGGTTAACTTCCCGAAAGAGATCCGCCCTTCGGCGTAGCCTCGTTCGGGTTCCTCCCCGCACAAAGGCAGAGAGTTCAACCGGTCAACCGGTCGTCCGACTTCAGACTGAACTCGGACCAACTCACTGAGCGACTCGTTACTATTACTACTACTATTTATTATAGGTGGGAGAGACTATTAACTATAGAATAGGTGCGTTCCACTATAACATATATACCCAAATATATGATTGGTGTATACTGAATAAATTCCAATCACCAACAATTACTATTCTTAAAAGAGTGCTTAATACAGAGTAGAGCGAATATAATTATTTATTTAAAAATTATAACATAAATATGTCAATCTTAACGTTTATTTCAACGTATTTTCAATAGAAACAAAATGAATAAAATAACATATGTATTTTTCTTTTTTCCTCAATAATTTTAAAATTTAAAACTTAATATAGATTAAATTTACATTTTTGAAATGGGTAGTTTTTAATTTTAATTTCAAATTTTATCGTACAATTTAATACTTATTAGTTAGAATAACTTCTATGTTAGTATAAACCTAACTTTAAAACATTTAATAGTTATTATAACCTTATTTTGTTGTCAAGTTTTTTCTCGTATACTTGTATTTTGATTGGTCATTTCAGCTCATGTAACAGCGTTTCCCCTTACGAGGGGTGGTAAATTAATTTGAACCATTTAAAACCTTTATTCTACAATCTACATTCAACATCATCACTTGATAAGACACCAGATGTGTTTGAAACAAAATGGCTATTTTTGTAGTGATTATATTATAATTTTTAAATAAATAATTATATATATATATATATATATATATATATATATATATATATATATATATATATGTATGTATGTATGTATGTATGTAAATATATGGATATAGATCCGATCTTAATATGCAATTATGTTGTATTAATGTTAATATAAAAGTCAACGTCGGACGTTGCGGTCTATTTTAGACCATCTTCAGGACATTTTCATTAAACATAATTAACATTAGAACATATAAAATTCAACATGAAAAGACGATGGACATAAGAGCACAACTAATCCAAACAGATAACTGAAATTTTTATCTAAGATCAGCGTTCCGTTTCAATATGATCACGTGGGCGTCACGTGGGCGATGTTGTGACCCAAATGTCCGACGTTGACATTATATTAACATTAAAACAGCATAATTGCATATTAGGATTTTTGTTTGTTTTTCCGTATATTTTTCTTCATACTGTCGGATCTATATCCATATATTTTACACACACACACACACACACACACACACACATATATATATATATATATATATATATATATATATATAAAAAAACATAGAAGTCAACACTTAGAGGCGGCATTAAACAGACTGTCGCCTCTAAGTGTTGACTTCTATGTTCACTTTTATATTTACACACGCTCTATCTCTGATATCGAGCACTTTATCCCATAAATATAGCACACCTTAAGACTATATTTCTTTATATATATATATATATATATATATATATATATATATATATATATATACAACATATTTTCATGCAAACAGGTTTGGTTAAATAATTTAGAGTTGATTTTTTTATGTATTGGAAAGAGATAAGTTAGATTCATGAATCCCTGACACGATGATCGTTACCACCAGCTCCAAGTATCCCGGAGATATAATCAGGATGGAAAATAAAACAAACACCAATTCAAATGCAGGAGTTAGATTTCATTGAAAAATGCATCCCTTCCCACGACCCAAACGTAGCAATAACTGATACATTAAATTATAGACATATTGAAAACCCAGCCACCTGTCTAGAAAAATAGATTTATCTGTAACCTTGGAAACATGAATTTTGTTTTAGCTGTGTATTTAAAACTCAGTAATTTTAAAAAGTTACTCAAAAAAATTCGCTTGAGGATGAAATGGAACTAATGTCTTTAATTTAATCACAAAATTAAATTCGTGTCTTTTAGCTTCCATTTTTGAAAACGTGGTTAGAACTGTGTAGCCAAAAACCATATTTTAAATCAATTAATTTATAATATTAATGCTCTGTAAATTTACATTGAGCACTATTTTGTAAAAATAAAATATCTATAAGAACACCGGATTATATATCTTGCTGTTCTTCTTTTTACTTTTATTTATATACATACATACATACATACATATATATATATATATATATATATATATATATATATATATATATATATATATATATATATAACGCTCATTTACATTATATATATTCTGTGTAAATGAGTGTGTATTTAACAAATGACCTATCGTCGTTTTCATTGCTATGCGAAATTTATGAGTGTCGGGCACAAGAATTGGCCCTCAAATGCCGAGTTACGCCCAAACTCGTCTTATGTATTCTGTTGCTATATAATCAGACCAATTTTGTTATGTAATGGAGTCGCCGTCATGTTAGTGTGTGCAAACAAAGATAAAGTCATTTCAGAACGAAAAAACTCTGGCGGGGCTGATGTAGCACAATAAGACAAGTGTGAAAACGTACACTGTTTTTTTTATCGTTAATTGATTTAATCTGTAAAGCTGTAAGCTTTAATACGTCCAAACCCAGAGTGGCGATGCGAACGAAAAAGCAACCCGATAGCTGATTGGTAAAAGAAAATGGGTTCTTAGGAAGAAATAAGGTTCAGTGCTAAATCGTTCGAATAAATTAGCAATAGCCTACAGTTATCTCCCCTTAGAATATAGGCTGAAAATAGAAGCGTTTTTTTCGTTTTTTTTTTCTTTGAAAACAGTTAAAAGTTACTAACTTTTATATGATATCAATCCTTCCCTATGGCAGTAAATGCGAGACAATTTCCTCACAGACTTGAAGCAACGGAGATATGGTTCCACAGAAGAAATACTGAGAATTGTTAGACATTTTCATGACGGTCGTCCTCGAGTATAGAATCCAGAGGCTGGCAGTGAATATTTCGGAGACAGTAGGAAAGCGTAGTGCAGGTTCGTAGTGGATATCCCAGCAAAGTAGCAGAGGGTAGTTCTTCCGTCTGTCATGTTCGCCGGACAAGTTACCTCTGGTCATTCCAGTATGAAAACAAAGATGGCCGCCTTTATACACGACGGATACAGTGTTGTGCGGCTTCTGATTGGTCAACCTTCTATTGGTCGACTATAAAGGGAAATAAGTCATTCTGACTCGCTTACTAGTTATACATAATATACCCCCAAAAACGTAACAAGAATAACTTAGACGGCACATGTCAGCAATAAGGAAGTTTTAAGGAAAATAAGAACGAAACAAACAATTTTGCTTAAGATCAGCGAAAGGCAGTTGAAATTTCTATGACAAATAATGAGGAAAGGCGGCTTGGAGAATTCAACACCCACGGAACAAACTGAAGGCAAAAAATGCAGAGAGAAACAACTAGTAACATGCCTAATGCTGTTTACATACGGACTATTGATCTCATGTATGTTGTTGTTGTTGTTGTTATCACAGTGTTTCGGCCGACCTACTCTCCGACTTTCATCAGTTGTATGTCGATCTGGATAACTTAACAATGAATTTCGAACTGAACCACTTATTAAATCTAAGAAGGTATATTGTTCTCCTTCCACTGCTCATGTCTAGATATATCTTTTAGATCTTATAGTACTGATGAATTATTGCACGTCCCGTTTCCAAGTACACGGCCAAGGGATTGAACTCACAATTACTATGTCATCAGATTCACGAACAAACGCTTGCATCCACTAAGAAAAGAAATAATTGTACAAACAAGACTAAATGCCCACTACAGTGGGATTGCAAAGAGAAAAATATATTATATTAGTCGAAAATAAAAAAAAATAACTGTATAAACAAACGAAATGCCCACTACAGTGGAATTGCAAAGGGAAAAATATATTATATAAGTAAAATATGACAAAAAAGAAGAGCTAAGGGAAGGGCGGATTTATATAGACACCACTGGGAAAGAATTTAAATATACGACTTTGCATGTATATATGTATATATAGTCAGGTCATTCCATGATACTATATAAACTAATGCTACCTGCCTCAGGATCAGGTTATCGATGACTGAACCGGGTGGTTAGATGGAGGATTAAAAACATGACGTAGAAAAGGGTGGATGATTCCATTCATAGAATCAATGGCCAACATAGCAGAGGTGCAGAGATGTAGAAATACAGGGATCCGTTAAGTGTTGAACCCCTCTTGGCTTTCTTTAGGGTATACGCCTATAAGAAGGAAAACTCTAATGTAAAACTTTATATCTATCTATCTGACGAGAGAGACATGTCTTGTCTTGACAACAAAGATGTTGACTGATTTTTTTTTTTCGGTGGTTGGGTGCATACTGTTTTTGTTCCTGAATGAACTAAAGCAATGTTTTCTCCATTTATATATTTAATGCACGGGTATTGTTTGTCATCTTGAGTCACGACTGAGTCTTCCAATGATACATTACTTTTTTTTCTTTTTTTTTTTTAAGCTTTTCATCCCAAGCAAGGCGGGAAGCCACTAGGACGCAAGCGGTTACAGAAGATTTGGAGCAAGATCAGATAGGAGTGATAGAGGAAAGGATGAGGATAGATCTAGGCAACTGGAGATGTCGATTGACATTACATTTGAATAGTTGGAGATTATAGCTCTCAGGGAAACTGGAATAGGGAAGGGAGTTCCACAGGCGAGAGGTGCGAGATATGAAGCTATTGGAGTAGAAGAGACGGCAACATTTAATAGTTTTGACAGTGAAAGGTTGAGAGCGGGATGCCAGCCTCGTAGGGCGCTTGAATTCATGAAGTCTGGGAACCAGCGAATGCAGCTCCTCGGAGCAATTGCCATGAAAGTATTTGTAAAAATGACAGAGGGAGGCGACGGCACGTCTGTGAGAGAGCGACTGTAGACGAGATGCCAGAACAGTGCCAATTACTATGGTCATACTCGTCAACGCCAGTCATTATATATGTAAACCAATGCAATTACAATTGCTAGCTGTGTCCTTTTTTAAGATACATGTGCTTTTATAAGTAGAGTATCCCAATTGAAGCTAAAATCCGTTTTTTTCCTCTATCAATCATGTTGTAAAGGACATCATTTAATTGACTGACTGGAGGATCATGGGAATATGGGCCGTTTTTTCCGCTTTTGTAGTCGCTTAACCGAATGTAAATGTAATTTTGGTGATCTACATCTTCATATACCTCTTACAATTGAATGTGTTTAGATTTATTAGTTTGTAAAAATCATTTCAAATGGTAAATAAGCCGAGAAACGGCTTTTTGTAGGAAACTCACGAAAAAAAAGTTTTAATATCCAATAATTGTCAACCAAAGACACCAAATCTCCCTCTCTCTCTCTCTCTCTCTCTCTCTCTCTATATATATATATATATATATATATATATATATATATATATATATATATCCCTCTCTCTCTCTATATATATATACAATTTTGTTAACATCTATCCTAGAAATGTATCTGATCCTGATAAATCTGTCTATCGAGCCCTATCGGGTCCTTTATGGTCACTATCTATCTATCTATCTATCTATCTATCTATCTATCGAGAGAGAGAGAGAGAGAGAGAGAGAGAGAGAGAGAGAGAGAGACAGTGAATGTGATACCTTGTCCTGTTCATATCTACCTAACTAGCTAGCTATATGTCAAGAGAGTGAAAGCGAGAGAGAGAGAGAGAGAGAGAGAGAGAGAGAGTGATCTCGTATTGTTCATATCTATCTATCTGACGAGAAAGAGAGAGATATCTTGTCTTATTCATATTTATCTATCTATCGAGAGCTATCTTGGCCTTTTATCTGTCTGTCTGTCTGTCTGTCTGTCTGTCTGTCTCTCTCTCTCTCTCTCTATATATATATATATATATATATATATATATATATAATTCTGTTAATATCTATCTACAGAGTGAGAAAGAGTGATATCTTGCACTGTTCATTATCTATCGAGATCTCTCTTGTCCTGTTCATTATCTATCTCTATCTATCTATCTATCTATCTATCTATCTATCTATCTATCTATCTATCTCAGTCTGATCATATCTATCTATCCTTCTCAGTCCGATCACATCTATCTATCTATCTATCTATCTATCTATCTATCTATCTATCTATCTATCTATCTCAGTCTGATCATATCTATCTATCCTTCTCAGTCCGATCACATCTATCTATCTATCTATCTATCTATCTATCTATATATCTCATCTATCTATCTATCATCTATCTCAGTCTGATCATATCTATCTATCCTTCTCAGTCCGATCACATTCATCTATCTATCTATCTATCTATCTATCTATCTATCTATCTATCTATCTATCTATCTCAGTCTGATCATATCTATCTATCCTTCTCAGTCCGATCACATCTATCTATCTATCTATCTATCTATCTATCTATCTATCATCTATCTATCTCAGTCTGATCATATCTATCTATCCTTCTGAGTCCGATCACATCTATCTATCTATCTATCTATCTATCTATCTATCTATCTATCTATCTATCTATCTATCTCTGCGTCTCATCAAAATGCAGTTAACGAACAATAAACAAACAGTTTCTCTATTTACAAGAGAAAAACTTCTACTTTCACCGTAGGTTTATTTCTTGTTACTTGCGTTTCCCCTGCTAACGAAAACCTCAATTTGTCTCATATCCCGTCACCACCAGCTTTATGAAGTGAGCCAACGGGAAAGTCGTGATTCGCCAACAGGAAATTAAGAAAGTCTTCCCAATGGTGGTGGTGATGATGAAGGAGGGGGGGTAATATTTTGCCGTTGGCTGTTGACACTTCTTGGAAAGCGATAGACTATTTTTCCAAGTTCCCGGATGTCATTTATCAATCCTATATCTACAAGGATTTTCCACCGAGTCTTTCAACAGTTCGGTAACTGAAGCAGCCATTTTTAGTTTGATTTACCTTTCGCTTTTTGGCTTGCGTCATTGTTTATACGTATAAACTGTGCCTTTATAAAAGAACTCCTTAAAAGTAATCACGTCATTGCTTGTATTGTGGCATGTAGCCATAATGTTTGAGTGTATTCATAGCCCCCCCTCTAATCAGTAAAATGCACGACGGGAGATTTTCTTTTTTTTTTTTTTTTGCTTGCCTCGTTTAAATTCTATCATTGAGAGTAAGCTTTGTACAAAACAATACAAAGGACTCAATTGTGCGTAACAAGGGTGCAAATTAAAAAGATTACTGAACTGTTACGTGATATCTGTCCTTCTCTATGACAGCGAATGGAGGACTATCTCCTCAAAGATGAAGAAGAGACTCAAAGCAACAGAAATCTGGTTCTACAGAAAGATGCCGAGAGAATCATAGACAGAACATGTGAGCAACAAGGAAGTATGGGGGAAAATGGAAACAAAAAAGAAACTTATACTTAATATAAGGAAGAGACAGTCGAGGTTTCTGGCGCATGTAATGAGGAAGGCCGGCTTGGAAAACATGGCACTCACGGGGTAGATTGAGGGAAAGAGAAACAGAAGAAAGCAGCGCGTAACATAATTGATGAGCTTGAGCAAATGGATGTCAGAAATGGGTTTGGGAGAATTAGAAAAAAGACAAAACTTATAAAGAGCTACAAGGGTCAGGATGATATGGAGGGCCATGATCGCCTACAACCTGAACGGCACATAAAAGAAAGACAGGTAGAAATTAAAAAAAAAAAAGATTTTTTTTCTTTTTACTTGAAGTTTCTTTCTTTCGATAAATGGATATTTATTATTAACTAGCAGCATGACCCGGCGTTGCCCGTGCTTGATTCAAAAATCGTACGACTCATACTGCAATCGCTATCACTTGATTTAAAATATTTTTGCCCTTCCTTGCCTTTAAAGGTGCCCTTTGCCGTGCTGATGTTGCTACATGCCTTACTTCTTGCCTATCTCACACTGCGAATTTTCTAAGCTTTATACTAAACATTAAATCTGTTACGAAAAAGAACTAAACAAAATGAACACAAAAAACGATCAGCTTTAAAAAAGGACTCGTAACTGGAAAACCGAATGAAAAAAGAATGTTAACAACAAATACTTTCTCACACCCAACCCAGTTCTGCGGAATCAGAATCAACGTTGAGTTTAAGCAAGCGAATGATCCAATTGGAGTAAAGGGCCATGCAGATTTAAATTTTTCCAACTTGTGACGAATGCAGCTATCGTTTATTTTGCATGCTAGTTAACATTCGTGTCAGTCAGCTGTTGGCTCTCACGCTGGCCAATAGAATCTTCCTGCCTATTCGTGGCAGCCAGCGATAGGCTCCCACTCTGGCCAGTAGAAAATGGCCGCAAACTACATGAAAACTGCCGTAGAAGCATGAGAATATCGATTATCCCGCTAACTTGGAGCATGTGCATTTTGGTGCAAATCCGTTGAAAATTGCGGCCGTGCATTCGTTACACACACACACACACACACACACACACACACACACACACACACACACACACACATCCTGCCTTTAAAAGATAGAGACATCAATGCTATTTTTAGTGGATACACGTATTTGAGTTGCTATCCCTATTTTCCTTCTTTAAATTTTATTAAACAATGAACTTAATGACCACCGGTTTAGATTGAGAAGTCAAACTAAAGAAAGATTGTGCCTCCGACAGGAATCGAAACTGTGTCTCTTTTTCCATCAGTTGATATCAACTTAAATATATGTACCTACTAAAAATAACGTTTATAGTAAAAAGAAATAATGTCGGACAAAAATAAAAACATTCAAAAATAAATGAATGTACATTTTATTTAATTCTAAAACAAAATTAAAAAGAGATAAATCCATAGAAAAATACGTTTAAATATGGGATTTTTCCTTACAAAAAACACTGGCGCCGATATATGCAAATTTGAGATTTTACACAAACATATACTAGACTTAACATTAAATTTAAATATGAGATTATAACATCCATCAAAAAATACTAGTCTTGATATTAAAATTAAATATGGGATTATCCCATCGAAAAATGCTAGCGTAGTTATTAATGATAAAATTCAGTTTATTCCATCAAAAAATATTAGTGCTTAAATATGCGATTATTCCATTGAAAAAGACTGGCGTTGATATTAAATTCAAATGAGATTATCCCATACCACTAATGAAAATACTAATGGAGAGATTAAATTTAAATGTGAGTTCATCCCATCGAAAAATATTTGCATTGATATTAAATATGAATATGCGATTATCCCACCAAAAATTGCTAGTGAATTATCCCACCATAAATTGCTAGTGATTATCAAATGAAAATTTGAAATTACCCTATCGAAAAATACTAGCAAAAATATTAAATTTAAATATGAGATAATGCAATTGAAAAAATACTAGCGTTTATATAAAATTTAAATATGTGATAATTCAATCGAAAAATACAAGGGTTTATATTAAGTTTCAATTTGAGTTTATTCCATTGAAAAATACAAGCGCTGATTTTAGATTTATATATGAGATCTTCCTGTAAAAATACTGGCGTTGATATTAAATTTGAAGATGAGATTATTCCATCGAAAAATACAATTCTTAATTTTATTCTCGGCGCTAGTCATTTTTTTTTCCTAGAGATTCTCTAATTTTAGGAGCATCGACAGCGCTTCTTGAAAATTGATTGAGCATGATCAAAGACGCTTTCTTATTCTTTAAAAAGTCGTCTCCCAGCCTTTTGAAGCATTGTCTATTAGAAGTAAAGTGTGCCTGCTTTGTAAAAATGTCTGGCTTCACTTGGCCTCTTAACATAAGATAAAGTCTCCTTGTTGGGCCGAGCGTGACGAAACATCAAGCTGGACATCTTCTTCAAACGACGATAACATTGAAGCCGACCCAGAACGAGGCTGCGTATGTTTTAGCATATGTGCCCTGTCAGCGCATGCGCATTGTCTGGCACAAACCAGTTGGCGCACAAACGTACGTATAAGTAAGAGAAAGCGCGTTGTAAGTGGCGTGGGTTTGTACATTTGTTATACGTGTATTCATGCCTTGTTCCTTGCGCGTGTAAAAGCGCGTGCGAGCTGGGCAGAAGTCAATGTAATGTCATTTATGAAATTCGATTAAACACGGTTTGAATTACGTAAAGGCGTGTGAGCGTCAGTGTGTATTTAATTGTGTGAGAAGTCGCACGTCTGTGTTGGTTCAGAGATCAAATATTCTTTCTGCGCCGGGTAACGCTGACACAGCTCTTTTTATACTATTAAGAGACGTCCCTTAGCTGTTAGGTCAGAGACCAGACCTCCCACTCGAGCGTGTCCAATTCAAGATACAATTCAACTCCGCATTTGGGGGTATCAATAGAGAATTTTTATGTCAAACATTGCTCGGTCAAGCTATTTCCTAAGGTCAAAGAACCAAATGAACATCCTTGTCAGGATTAAAACCTAAAAAACCCTTCACTTAATTTTCGATATCTGACGTTTAAAATGAATTTTAAAAAATGAAATAAGATTCTTGAAGCTTTCATTTTAACTTTTAGTGAAAGCTAAATGATTAAATCTACTATTTCCAGTAAGCAAATTACTCCGGAGTATTTCAAATGGAAATTATATTGATTGGAATCTCACCTTTTTGGTCACTTTCAGAAATCATTTAAAATCGGCCATTTTAACACATTTGTAAACAAATGTTAATTGTCGGTTTTAAAAAACTTCCAAAAATAAAATATACTTTTCCGAAACTATATTTGATAATTATTAGCTGATTTAAAGTATAATTAATCTGATTTGAAAGAAAAAATATTTACTTTAAGTTTAAAATAGCAGAGAAATGGACTTTTAAGATGAACAGTAGCGGTGATTCACGCGCTTGTCACCGTCGATTGTCACTCGTAGATGATTTAAGAGGGACTAATAAAGTATTGACATATTTATTGTTGTTCTACTACGAGTTTATCTGTTAAAACATACTTTAAGAAAATGACGGATGAGAACTATTTTTACGTAAATTTTAAATACTCAGTAATCTTAAAAATATTGGAAAATATTCCCCGTAATTTAATTTAAGGAATGCGTAATTTAATATTACTATAGGCATCGCTCTTATTTTCTGATAATGTCGTGTATGATCGACCATACTTTCAAACAGGGGCACATTACGTAATATTTTATATACATACAAAATTAAAAAATAATTCTTAAAATCTTGAAACAAAATACTTTGTATTAAGCTTTTCAATTTTTTATTAGTTAATATAGTTTTCACTTAATAACAATATCATCTAACCGGATGAAATTAATGCCGAATTTTAAACGATTTTTATATTATAATTTTTTTTATAATTAAGCTTTAAAAAATGAAAACAATTTTTGTAAAAATTCATTATTCATCGGAAATGATTTCTTAAGACAATAGTGTCCTTAATAAATCTTATTTATAAAAGCAATTAAAAGCTTCTAATTTTCTAATTAAATTATCATAGTTGTATTGTATTTTTTATCTTACGATTTGGAGCAGATTTTCGGGAAATGGGTAGTAATTTGAAAAAAAAAATGATGATTTACATTCTCCAAGAAGCCTTGCTTTTAACTAATAAAATAATTTATATAAATAAATGGTTTCACGCTCCTCAAAACCACCCGATCAGAGGCTTTCCTG